ATCCTCACTCAACACCAGCAACATGCTTGGGCGGTTCAGAAGGACTCCAACTGGGAGTAATTCACTAATCTAATTTCCTTCAACACCCTGTAGTCACAAAAAACTAGAGTTTGAAAACTGGTAAATCAGACCCTTTATTGAAATACATGGATGCTGTACTCGGTGAAGTTAGGAAATCAAAGCACAAAACTAAGTGCTCCAAAGGCATTTCCTTTGACTCACACAAGTATCTACAGATGGCCAGCGCAGGGAAGGCTCCAAGAAGGAAAAAAAACTGGTCAAACATTCTGTTTGACCTGGGAATCCCGAGAGGGCAGGCAGCTCTTCACTGGGCCCTGAGTTCGAATCCCTCTTCACCCTTCACCAGCTGAGGCGCCTGAGGTGAGTTATTTCATCTGTGTACTTGACCAGAGTAGCGCCCGCATACCTCACAGGGTGCCTCCACCCACCAGATTTTTATCAAGCATCTAGTATGTGCCAGGCCCTTGTGAAAGTCAGCAGTGAACAAAACAGACAAACGTCCTTCCTCACAAACTTTCATTGAGGAGGTTGTCCGGGTAATAAATCCCCCAAGGGGTAAACAGCACTTCACAAGGCGGTGAGCACGAGCAAACGCCCAGTGGCTGAGCGCCCCCTTCAGTCTGTGCCAGGCGCCGCAGCGCGCGGCTGGTTCTTTTAAGTCTGGGATTCGATGCCAGGTTGGGCAGAGGGCCGGTTCCTAAGGCTTCCAAGAGCCACCCCGCCTGAAGGGGCAGGGTGTACCTTCCAATAGACACACACACCTTTGCCAGGCACTGCTCCCCGGGTGTCTTGAGGAATAATAACTTCTTGAGAGCCCATTTAAGGATGACAGGTATTTAGGGGAGAGTTTCGTTCCTCTCTAAAGGGGCCTCCACATGAAAAAAGGCTCAAATCACTTATAATCAGCGAAATGCAAATCAAAACCAAGAGATGCCACCTCACACCAGTAAGAATGGCCTACATTAAAAAAACAACTAAGGGATTAAGTCTCAGCACTATCAAGCTATCGCCCGCTACTGCAGCACTAGTTCCATCCCTGGCCAGGGAGGTGGCCCACATGGCACAGCAGACCTCTCCTGTCTCACCTGCTGCTCCCCTCAGCAGTGTATTTCAGTCAATCTGCCTGTTTTGCTTCCCACCCAATCTCGTGAATCCTCTCACCCTCCCCACACCTCTGGCCTCCACCTTGCTCTTGTATGCATAAATAAATCTTTTTAAAAATTAAAAATAAAAAAACTAACAACAACAAATGCTGACGAGGACGTGGAGAAAAAGGTATCCTCTTACACTGCTGGTGGGAAGGCAAATTGGGCCAACCACTGTGGAAAGCTGTGTGTGGGTTCCTCAAATTACTAAAAATCAATCTACCATATGACCCAGAGATTTTACACCTAGGAATCTACCCAAAGGACACAAAAACATTGATTCAAAAGGAAACCGGCATGCCTGTGTTTATTACAGCACTATTTACAATGGCCAAGATATGGAAACAACTTAAATGCCCAAGAACAGATGACTAGATCGAGAAGATTCCATATACGCCATGGAATACTACTCAGCAATCAAAAAAGAGAAACCCATGCCATTCGCAACAACATGGATGGAGCTGGAAAGGATTATGCTCAGTGAAATAAATCAGGAGGAAAAAAAAGAAAAACATCAGACAGCTTCACTTACAGGAGGTATATAGGGGAACCAAACGAGGTGTGGGGAAAGAAAAAAAAAAAAGACAAAACTAGCTTCAAACTATATAGCAGAGACATACAGCTGGGGAGAGGGATCAAAACAGGGGAGGAAAAGCACAAGAGACTATGGTGACAGTTCACGGGTGACTTGGTGGTGGGAATTTTATGGGGATTACACCTGAGAGGAGAAAGCAAACATTGTGCAAAAATGAACAATGACGTAATATATATATTTAAATGGGGGGGAGCGGGAGGGGTTTATTTGCTTTTACTGAGATTCCCGACCAATATGAGTGTCTATTACATGTCTGCTGCATGCACTTTCTCACCCAATTCTCAAACCATCTCTTTGATATATTTCTCTTTTTTTTAAGATTTATTTATTTATTTATACAAGCACTGGTACAGTCAGAAGCGCGGGAGGGTGAGAGAATTCACCAGAGCCAGAGCGGGGAGCAGAGCAGGCAGACTGACGAAGTACACTGCTGAGGGGAGCAGCGGGCGGCAGGAGAGGTCTGCGCGCCATGTGGGACCCTCCTCCGGTGGCCGGGGAGCAGCCGGGGATCGAACCAGCGCTGCAGAGGCTGCAGGCAGCTTCGCAAACCAGCGCTCAACCACTGCGCCACCAGGGAGGCCCTCTTTAATATATTTCTAACCCCAATTTATGGATGAGGGAACTGGAGCCAGAGAAACTAAGTAACTCACCCAAGGACATACAGCTAGTAAATGTGGGAGTTGGCAAGGACTCTGCCTTCAGCCCAAGGCCTGGCACAATCCAAGACTCAGCACTGCCCCCAAGGGGAGCTGTAGCTGCATGAGGGGACGGAGCAGGTTCTCTATGCCCCGAGCAGACAGGATAAAGGAGAGTCCTGGAGCCCTCGGTGGCTTTTACAGGCTTTATTGGGATTTACCAGGTACATGGCAGGCAGGGTGACCGGGGCGCTGGGAGGCTGGCAGGCCTCCCAGGCCCCAGCAAGTCCTCACTCTTTCTGGGCTCTCCAAAGCTCTCTCAAGGCCTCCGTTCTCTCTCTTCTCGTGTTTCTACTGGCGTCCCCGTGATGCCGCCCTTATAAGCCCAGGTAAACCCACTTACACATGCCCACACCCTACTCCAGGTGCCCGCCATCAGGCATGCATTCAGGACCACAGGCATCCATCATCAATCCTAATGGCAGGAGGGCAGAAAAGCCTGAAAATCACTTACCCTACAGGCACAGAGTGAAATGACAGGACAGAAGAGCCAAAGACAGTCCAATACTGTCTCCAAACACAGTGGCAACAGATCAGCATGCCAAGCACCGTGGATGTTCCTGTGAATACTTTGTGTCCTTTGTATTCATTATCTGCAAGAAACACGATTTCACAGGCCACAGTATTTCAGTGTAATGCAGAGCCTATAAATACGTGAAGCAGTGTAAACGAGGAAACTGATATGTCAGAGACCATAAACCAGAAGGAATGTGCTGGAAATCTTCAAAAGAAAAAAATCATTGGGCTACAAAAAAATCCCTTTTTTAATCCTTCGGGCTTTCGGATAACTTGAAGATTAGTGAAACTCTAAACACAAAGAAATGCAAAGAATGTGTGCACAGAGTGGGTGTGGCAAGTGGGCAAGGCAATAAGTTAGACCTGGCAAGTGCACACAGTAGGTCAGCAGACTGGAGTTGGGCTTTCTCTGCACTCAGGAGGCCTGACCTGGGGAAGGAGAGATGGGAGACTCTCCAGGCAACCATGAGGATGGGGGTGTGGTTCAGGGGGCACTGTGGCCTGGTAGAGCATCAGAGGTTGGGGACACCACTGGAGAAGGGGCAATGAGAGCTGGGGTCTCAGTGGGCAGCCTGGCTGAGAACTGCCCAATTAAACAGGAAGCACAGGTGATGGAGATCTATGCACACCTGGCTGGAGGGACAAGCAGGCCATGGCTTCGGGACACCTCAGACTCCCAAATCCCAAACCTTCGGCAAAGAAACCAACCCCAACCCACCAGTCACTAGATCACTCAGTGCAAAAGCTGAGGCTGCCTGGGCCATGCAGGGGCCAGGGTGGAAGCCCTTTGAGGTCACCACTGTCACCGCAGAAGGGGCAACAACCCCTCTATCAGAGGAAGAGAAAGACAGGAGAGGAGCGCAGAGGGGTCCTCAGCCATGTGTCAGCAACAGACTAGTAACCCCGACATATCCCATATTTACTAGAGGGAAGGTTGCAATGTAAGTAATTGGTACTGAGGCCAATCCCCAGCCCATTCCTGGGAAGGCAACGCCAGCAGTGCCCCCTCGTGGCCAACCTTGCAGTTCTCAAGCGGGGAGAGGTCCAGCTGGGTCTCTCCAGCTGGGTCTCACCCAGCCTCAGCCCCACCGCTGCTAAACCCCTTGAGCCTCCCACAGGCGCCCTCACCTGCTCTGGTTTCAGTGCTACCCACCTGCACAACTGCCCCTGCAAGGGACAGGCCTGGGCCTGCGTGAGAGGGGCAGCCTAGTAGGTGCCGCCCCAGTTTTTTGAGCTTTTCAGGTTCTCTGCCCAGGGACTGAAACTGCATCCCCCAGGGGTCAACAGGAGACTTTTTTCTTTTTTACCAGTTTAAAAAAACTAAGGGTGGTTTTTCTTATTTTTACACATTGTGGTGAAATTCGTATAACATATAAAGAGACATTTTAAAGTGAGCAATTCAGTAGTAATAAGCACATTCATAACGTCATGCTACCACCACCTCTATCTAGTTCCAAAACTATTTTTATTACCCCAAAGGAAATCCTGTATCTATTAAGCATTTGCTCCCCATTATTTCCCTTCCTCTGCCCCTGGCAATCACCCATCTGCACTTTGTCTCAATGCATTTAGCTATTCTTAATCCTTAAAGTTCTTAAAACAATGCCTGGCATATGGCACTCAATAAATATTATTACTGAGTATCATTGAGTATTATCCATTGAGTAATATACTCAGTAGGTTGAGAATATTGAGTATTATTGAGCAGCATTATTAATTATTAATATGGTATTAATTGATACAATATTATCATAAATATTGGTATTACCACCCTTGATGGCTAAATCCAGAACCCCAAACTCCCTTTCAGTGCTATCTGCTGAGCACCCATGAGAAACAGAAATTACCAGATTAAGCCAACGGATTCTGCCCCTGCCCCCAAAAGGCAAAGAGATCCCCCCAAGCCCCATCCTCGGGGCCAAGGGCAGCGCTGTCCCCTTCTCCTGTGGCTTTTGGGACATGACCCCACATGGGGGGGTGAGGCAGAGATGACCCCAACTCAGCTCCAGGATGCCTCGGAGGCCTCACCTTCCTCCATGCTGGATCGCCCCGGACTTGCAGAGCTGGTCAGGGTCTGCCTCCACCTTGAAGCCCTCCCAAGTGCCCAGTTCCCCCAGCGTCCTCTCCACCCGGACCACTCGCAGCCCACAGAGACCTCGCCAGGGCTCTTAGAAGGAGCCTTTTCTCCTCCACTAAGAACGAAGTACAGCCAGTGCGTGGGGCTGGCAATTAGGCCCTCCTGGAAGCTCTGAGGGTTACAAGAAAATCCACCCAGAAGAGATGGAATGAGCTTGTGCGGAAATCATCTTGAGACCAGTAGATGTTCCAGATGAAGAGCAGGCGCAGACAGGAAACCTAATTAGGATCTGCTGAATGGAAAAAAGATGTGGCCTAGGCATGTGGCCCACAGGCCTTAAGGAAGAACGTGGTTTGGAGAGACTGGGAGTGGAGAGGGCCCAGGTGTTCCTCTACGGCCTGCCCATGGGAGGGTGTCCATGTCGCCAGGCATGGGAGGCTCTCGTCCCAGGAAGTCCTGGTTTAGCCTAAGTGGTGGCCTTACTGGGCGGTTCATAGTTGAGCCAGCCCTTCTATGAGCAGGTGGGATGATACCCACAGGTGCTCAGCAAAGGAGTTATGGGGCCAGGAGTCTGCAGGGGGTGCCCCAGCCCAGCCCCAATGTGGGCAGAAGAGGGCACATGCCCCAAAGTGGGCACATGTTTTCTCAAGTGTCTCAGTACCACCACTCTGTGGGCAGATCGGGAACTGCAGGGGCCTGCTGAGCCGCCTAATAGCTCAGAGGCATTCCCCGGGGAAGGCTGCAACCATGCAGAGAGGAAGGACGCTCCTTTCTCTCATCAGATCGTAGTTGTGGCTCTAGTCAGCCCAGAGAGCCTTCCCGCCTTTCCAAACTCGCTCAAAGGTGACAGGCTGGTGAGCATCAGGCCTGGGTTTGTGCCATAACCCAAGTGCCCTAGCAGCCCTGCAAGAGACCTGGTGCACAGGGGCAGAATGTGGTGGAGGGAGAGTCCTGTACCTGCATTTGTCACTCTGAGGTGATGAACTGGGAACACTTTAGCATAAACAAGTGTGCTCCGTGGCAGCTCCAAGGCCCCCACGCTGTATGTGGGGCCTGAGCCTTGTCCTTGCTAGGACAGGATGGGCATAAAATAGGGGTGCCAATAGCTTCATTTATTTACAAGCTCATGTAGGAGCTGCCTGAAACTCCCAAGCCCCTCTGGGTGACCTCCCCCAAAGCAGGCACAAAGCCAGTGTGTCAGTGATGACCCAGCTGCCTGCCCCTGAGCCTGCAGGAGGCCAGGAACCCCCAGGCTGCCAGGCTCAGGCTGACAAGCCCTCCTGAATGATGAGCAACAAAGCCAGCAGCTGCTCTGCTCACCAAGCCTGAGGCTGTGTCTACCCAAGGAGGGGGGAGACTTTCTAATCACAAAGGCCTTCTATGAGCTAGCCTGGCTCAGCCTGGGACCCATGGGTGCTGAAGAGATGGGGGCCCAGAGCCAACAGTCTGTTCAAACACCTGCTGCCAATACTTGCGCTGATGGTTGATTTTGAAAAGCTCCCGTGCTTGGTGTCTTGATGAAGCCGGTGTGCGCTGTTAATTTAGGCCTGGAACCGCCACAGGTTCTTGTTCCACTAATCCATAAAAAGGAGTTCACAAGCGTTTTAAATAAGTAAGCAGAGAGAAACAAACTTTGTTCAAAGTACAGTTTATTTAAAGGAAGAAAGCAAGGACTCCGGACTCCCAGGTGCACTTGACCCAGGAGGGGCAAAGAAGTCCCATAAGGGCCTGTGTCTGGGGGCTATTTAAACCCTTTTTTCTCTGTTCTAAAATCTCATCATCCAACTTTGTTATTGGCTTTTCTCCTAATGGCCATACTCTTCCCGGCAGATGGGCCCATTTTCCCAGCTCCTATCTTGGAGTTTACCTGTCCAAGAGTTACCCTGTCCAAGTTCTCTTAAAATTTACTCTCCTTATTGGCCTTAAAATTTACTGTGCTCGGGCCTCCCTGGTGGCGCAGCGGTTGAGCGCTGGGTTGCGAAGCTGCCCGCAGCCTCTGCTGAGCCGGTTCGATCCCCAGCTGCTCCCCGGCCACCAGAGGAGGGTCCCACATGGCGCGCAGACCTCTCCTGCTGCCCGCTGCTCCCCTCAGCAGTGTACTTCGGTCCTTCTGCCTGCTCTGCTCCCCGCTCTGGCTCTGGTGAATTCTCTCACCCTCCCGCGCTTCTGACTACCCAGTGCTTGTATAAATAAATAAATCTTAAAAAAAAAAAAAAATTTACTGTGCTCATTAGCCTGCCTGGATTTCTCTGCCCTTATCTCAGAAGCCTCTTTAACTCTCCCAAAGTCCCTGTCTGCGTTGTCCCTGAAGCTGCTTAATTAACCCTATGTAAGGGCAGGAATGGCTCGGGGCAGGTGTTCTATGACCCAAGCAGACCGGGTAAAGGAGGAGTCCTGGAGCCCTCAGTGGCTTTTGCAGGCTTTTCTTGGGATTTACCAGGGACGCAGCAGGCAGGGGTGCTGGGGGCTGGGAGGCCTGCCAGGTGAATCCATCTACCTATGCCCACACCCTACTCCAGGTGCCCGCCATCAGGCATGCATTCGGGACCACAGGGTTCCGTCATCTATCCTAATGACGGGAGGGCAGAAAAGCCTGATACTTTTTACCTTACCCTACACCCTAGCTTGCCCTAGGACTCACACCCGCTGTGGCAAATGCACAATGGGCGTGCAAAGTGGAAAATGGCTGGTGCACTCTGCCCATTGCTCATCACCCCCAAGCCTGGGAAGTCGGGGAGGAGCAGGGACTTGCCTAGATAATAAATGGCAGCCTCAGATTTCAATTCCAGGTAGGTTTCTCATCTCCAAAATGGAGACAGAAACTGCGGTCACACGTGTTTGCACAGATCTAGAGAAACACCTGAGGTAGGAGCGGTGCTCCCTGTCTGCCCGCCTAGTTAGGGAGGCAGGAGGGTGAGAGGCCCGGCTGGACCAGAGGCTGTGCTATCCCTCTACCCCCACACCAGAGCAGGACTGCCTTTCACAGACCCTGCATCAGGCCCCACCCTCATTGTAACAAACATCACAGGCACCCACATTCCTCATTAAATGTAATGCTTCTTTGCTTCAAATGTAAAAGGGATTTTATAAATTTGCTTTTGAAATGACTATGAGTAACATTGAATTGAATATTCGCTATGATTTCTCTTCAATCATCCTGAATATCCTGGAACTCTTGCCAAGAATCCAATTTACAAATTGTTGTCAAATAGAAGGACATCTGTATGGGCACCAAACTTAACAAACGCAAAAGTTGATATGTTACTTCCTGAGGCATTTAGTTAAACATTTATCAATTATGATGTCTTTTTTCATATTTTCATGGGCAGTGAAGTTTTTCCCAGGGCCTCTGAAAGTCCCAACCTGGCCCCTGGACAGGACAGGTTTGCACGCAAAGCCCTGGGATCCTCTTCACCTCCACACATACAGACCAGCCCCAAAGGCCCTGGTGCAAAAACACTCAGCCCAGATTGCCGGGGGCACCCTAATTTGAGCAACTTTATTCTCATTCTGAAAACAAAAAGATTTGCCAACGTTGAATTAAATGGGATTGAGTACTTCCAGCCTTATTGGCATTTCACACAAAGGAATGAGGCAATACTTTGATGGGCAGAATGTTCGAACAGAGGGTTTGGAAATCAGGATCCCTGTCATCCTAATCAACCACCCACTCCCTCTGGGAGGCACAGCACCACCTCTCAGCTCCCCCAGGAGGGGATGTCAGTGAGGTTCCCTCCCTACTGGTCAGCCCACTGCTCAGCCTCCAAAGTTTTGTGATTGACCTGGGACTAGCCCCAAGTGGGACTTCATTCAAGGCTGGTCCCCAAGGGCAGACTGGGACAAGGTCATTTATCTTGCCTGTCCTGTTGCGCTCCGTTTGGGCCTATTCACACAGGTCAGTTTTTATTATTTTATATATATATATTTTTTAAGATTTATTTATTTATGCATACAAGACCTGGGGTACAGGCCAGAGGTGTGGGGGGTGAGAGGATTCACCAGAGACAGAGTGGGGAACAGAGCAGGCAGATCTACTGAAATACACTGCTGAGGGGAGCAGCAGGCGAGTCAGGAAAGGTCTGCTGCACCATGTAGGTAGCTCTCTGACCGGGGATCAAACTCGTGCTGCAGTGACTGCAGATTGTTTCATAAGTTGTGTCTTAACCCCTTGCGCCACTAGGGAGGCCCAAGGTCAGTTTTTAAAATTGCCTCTGCTGTCCACCACCGTTCCCCTCTCCTCTCTATCCAAGTACAGGTGCCCAGCCTCTGCACTAGCTGGGAAGAAGGCCATCAGAGGGGGTGAGTGGATTCCAGGTAAAGGGAAGTGGTGGAAGAACAGCAGGGGAAGACAGAAAGAGGCAGAGAGCAAGAAAAGGACTTCTGCCTCGGTTTACACAGTCAGTTCATTTTTATCAAGAAGCAATGAAAAAAATTATTTACCTTGGACCTGATCATTTCACTCATGGGCATCTAGGAGAATAATCTGTAAAAGCTTATATGCAAAGATAATAATAGTTAACATTTATTGAGCATTTTATTCAGTGCTTTATATTCAGAGACTGAATTGACTGAATCCAAAATCAGCCTATGCAGAAAGTGCTAATGTATCACCCTGAAATGGGTGAGGACCTGGAGGCACAGAGAAGCAACTTGGCAATGGTCAGAGTCAGAAAGAAGCCAAAATTCAAACCCTTGTGGTTTGGCTCCAAAAAAACCTTTTAGCTGCCACCTTAGACCACAGCTATTCTTAAGGAGGCTTGCCATGGGCCCGTAAACAGAAATTAACATTTATATTTCCCTCCCCACGCCCACTCCACTGCCCGTCCCCTCTGGTTGCCTCAGTTTGCAGACAAGTGTTAAGAGTTTGTTATTGGCTTGGATTTGACTGACCCTTAAGTTATGTTTCTCTACATTCCATACTTGTGGTATTTGTGTTTTCCCTTCTGATTTATTTCACTTAGCATCACTGATGTGCCACCACCCCAGGCTAGGGAGGTTCATGGTCAGTTCTCTCAGATGAGAAAAAATTGGAGCCTTCAGTGGCCTTTGCAGGGACTTAATGGACTTAATGCTGAGACAGGGCACCATACACACAGGCCAGCAGAGAGAGACTCCAACTCTGAGCAGCAGAATAGCAACCCCACTTCCTGGCCCCCCTACACTGTTAAGTGCCCACAGACACACAACTGATATATTGTTGCAAATGCAAGGCCCATCTGTTGTTTACTAGCTGTCCAACGTAGAAAACAAGGTATGGGCTGTCTGTTGTATAGAAAGTGAAAAATAGACTGATTTACTCATTTTCCTTACACTCATACTTTCCAGTTTCATCCATGTTGTTAAAAATGGCAGTTGATCTTTTTTTGCAGCTGAGTAGTATTTGTGTGTGTGTGTGTGTGTGTGTGTACATTTTTCTTTTTTTTTAAAGATTTATTTATTTATGTATACAAGAGCTAGGGTACAGGCCAGGGTTTGGGGGGAGGGGTGAGAGGATTCACCAGAGGCAGAGTGGGGAACAGAACAGGCAGATTGACCCAAGTACACTGCTGAGGGGAGCAGCAGGAGAGTCAGGAGAGGTCTGCTGCACCAAAATTTTTCTGATCCAATCCTCTGTCTTGGGCACCTAGGCTGCTTCCATAACAGCTATTATAAAAAGTGCTGTAGTGAACACAGGATTATGGATATCCCTTCAAATTAGTGTTTTTGCCTTCTTCAAATAGATACCTAGGAGTAGAATTTCTGGATCATAGGTAGATCTAATTTTAATGTTTTGAGAAACATAGGGACTGGACCAGTCTACTGCCAGCAGTGTAAAAAGGTTTCCTTTCTCTCCACATCCTCAGCAACATTTGTTTAAAGAGTATTTTAATAAAATGCAACAAGACAAGTTAAAATACTTTAAGGGCTCCCTGGTGGCACAAGGGTTAAGGTGCATCATGTGAAGCTATCCGCAGCCACTGCAGAATGAGTTCCATTCCTGGCCAGCCAGGCAGCAATCCACATGGCATAGCAGACCTCTCTTGTCATGCCCGCTGCTCCCCTCAGCAGTGTACTTTGGTCAGTCTGCCTGTTCTGTTCCCCTCTGTCTCTGGTGAATCCTCTCACCACCCCGCCCCCCGGCCCCCATGCCTCTGGCCTGCACTCCAGCTCTTGTATGCATAAATAAATAAATCATTAAAAAAATACTTTAAAAACACAAAATTACAGATATGACCTCAACTCAAAACAGCCTTCTTTAAAAAAAAGAACTTAAAAAAAAAACCACTATATTTAAAATAAAGAAATACATCTCAGGCATGCAGATGAGCAAATATTTGTGAAAATCTGTAGACTTTAAGGCGGCTTCTTTTCTCCTCTGTTTTCTGTACTTCCCAAATTTCTTTCATGAAAGTTACTTTCTTTTCAGATAGGAAACAGCACTAAGGCCTTAATGTTTTAGAATTATTTGCTCTCAACAGACATTTGGAAGAGAAATTTCTAAGAAACTAAAACACTAGAAGCAAATTTTTTAAAAAAAATATTGGGGAGGTTGCTAAGAAACCCTTTAAATTGGTAATATCTTTAGGACTAGGCCTCAGCACACACTGAGAAGAATGTACAAGGGACAAGAAATTAAACAAACAAGAAGTTAATATGGAGTCCTGGCTGTCCTGAGTGCTGACAAATGAAACAGGCAGCTCATGCCTTGGAAAGAACCTTCTGGAAAGGCCTTCTAATCCTATTTTCTTTTACAAATGAAGAGACAACACCTTTTATTACTGAATATATTCACCTTCTTGGAAAATAAGTTCCCTTCATCCTTGGAAAGCACCTTTCCTTGCATAGATGAGGCCCCTTGTGGCTCTATACCCTAGACCATCCCCCTGGCTCCCATCTGGGGCTGCCATGGCTGCTTGCACCTCCTGAGCCTCTTTCTCCAACCAGAAATTGGCCAGAGTTATGCATCCCTTGGCCATCATCCAGCACACACACTCAGCTCTTCTGTATATAAATTGCTGGAACAAATTGACAGAAGATGCCTTGAGAATGAAGGTGCCAATTTGGCCTGTGGCACTCAGGGCAGGGGAGGGGCAGCAGGAGAGCTCTCTCCCAAAGCTGTCCCCCATCTCTTCCCCTCCCCACAGGCCCCAGTCTCCTGCACAGGAGCAGGCAGGGCTGCGTAGAGTTGCTGACTCTACCCAGGAGGGGAGGAACCAAATCCCTGGCCCAGGCCCTCAATTACATAGGCTCCACAGCTGTCCCAAGGCTCAGTTTCTGAAGCAGCCGGCCTGTTGTTCTCCTTGGAGCAGCAGCAGCAGCAGCATCTCTGCCAGCCAAGAGCCTGCACAGCACAGGGCACATCTCACTTTCTTCCTTCACACAGACCAGCAACCTCTGTGCCCAAAGTTAATCCAGAAACTGTGTTAAGCACAGACAGTGCCTAGTGGGCTAAGCCTGGGTCCAGGCGGCACAGGTGTGCTGTGGCCCCGTGCAAGAGAATCTGCCAGGGAGCTCGCAGGTTTCCATGCCACACCTTCAATGAACTGGACTCTCAAAGGGTAGGACCTAGGATGGCAGGCCAGTGTGAAGACACAAATGGGAACAAACCCTCCAGGGGACAGCAGATGGTCCCCTGTCGTAGCCTCAGGATCTGCTGCGCTTCACTGCACTTTGGAGACCTCCCTGTTCCCTCCTTGGCCCTAGGACCCCGCCTGCGGATGTGGGGTATGTGGGGGGGGTGTGCATGTGTCACAATGAAAGGTGGGGTGGAAGGGGTTACAGTGTCGGGATGTGGCCCTAAGGCTCACTCCGCCTTCTTCACATGGATGTTCTTTCCAGAGCTTGAGGAACCAGGGCCAGGCCAAGCAGAGGCGTTGGAGCGGGCTGGGGACTGGGCGTACGGAGTCTTAGTTACTGAGTTCATTTTCAGTAAGTCCAAGTTTGCGACATTGGTTTTCCAGCAAAATAAATTGACTGCTAAAAAAACACAAACAAACCAGAACCTGCTGTCCCTCCATCCAAGATGTTCCTGGACCAGCCTCAGTCACTTCCCAGCCACCACAGATCTCCCAACAGACACCACACTGCCTTCTTATTACTTAAATAATTTTTATTTCTCATGCACTAGGAAAGATGGGATTGTATGAAACACTGCATTTCACAGCAAAGGCCAAAGTCCAGAATAACACAGGGCACGAGCTGGGACCCAGGGCTGGTCAAAACTCAAGGGACCACACTGGGGATCCTCCCACCCAGGGAGGGGGGCAGATCCAAGACTCTCCAGCTGCAGTGGCCCCAGACATAGCACAGGGCGCTGCCCCCTCCCACAGAGGCACAGGAAGCCCACACCAGAGAACACGTGGACCGGAGAAGGCTGCGGCAGTGACTTGGTAGAGGCAGTGGGCTGGCACCCGACGCCTGGCGCCCAGCAGCCAGGACTGTGGAGTTCTCAGCCCAACTCCACCCGCATTGGGCTACTGGAGCCCTGCAGCCCCCAGTGCCTGTGGTCACAGGGGACATGTGCAGGCCCCACCTGGGGGCCAAGAGTCAAGCTCCAGCCAAAGCCCTGATTTAACCAGGCAGAACCCCAAAGGCTAGAGGGGCCAGCCCCCCACAGCTGTCCCTAGCCCCTGCGGACAGACGCCTGTGGGACAGCTGGGCTTCTGAGGAGCCTGGGACAGGGCAGGGCCGTCGATGCCAGCCGGGCTGAACCAAGAGCAAAGCAGACCCTGGGCTCCGCTTCACCGCAGTGGCCCAGGGACAGACACAGGTCGGACACATGCAAGACAGAACACAGACGAGCGGACACATGCAGAGAGACAATGGGCCAGAGAGGCCAAGGACAGACGTGACGTGGGGGCTCTGCGAGGCCCAGGCTCACTGAGGCCCAGGGCTCGTGGGGAAGGCCGGCTCCTCCGGGATGGTTTCCAGCATCTCGCTCTGAACAGCCTGTGTGATGAGCGCCAGCTCCTGGCACAGCGTCTCGTAGCGGTACCCCACGCGGATGTCGGGCACGTTGGTGCGCCGGATGTCGTTGCCCTCGGGGCCCTCCTTGGTGTAGTTGGGGCCCAGCCAGTGGCTCTTTACCTGGCAGGGGGTAGAGGTGACAGCAGGGCTGCAGCCAGCACTAAAGGGCCAGCCCAAGCCCTGAACCATCCAGGGCCAGCACCCCAGGGACCTCCCCAAAGGTGGGGTGGGGGGGCATGCCATGGAGGCAGTGGAGTGGTACCTTGTGCGAGAAGCCACTCATGAGCACACTGTTGCGCGCCAGCTCACACATGTCACAGGAGCTGAGCTTCCACACCTGCGTGGCGATGCTGTACTCCTCCATCAGCGGCTCCTGCGCAAGGCAGTCCCTCAGGCCCTGCTCCCCCGCCTCCTGGTGGGCACGCACTGCACTCCCCCAGCAGGGGGCAGCACGCGCCCTGAGACCCCAGCAGCTGGCAGGCTGCCTGCCCGCCCTCCCACCTGCCGGGTTCTCACCTTGGTGAAGTGGAACTGCAGGGGATCATCAGTGGAGAGCGAGACCATGAGGCCACGGGACAGGTACTCGGGTAATGGGTTCCGGTGGTAGCTGAGGAAGAGGCTGTTGTTGCTGAGTGGGGACATGGCGATACCAATCTGGGCCAGGTAATACAGGTACTGCAGGACCGGGGCCTGGACAGGCCAGAGAGGGAGAGAGGGTGGGCTGTCAGGTGGCGCCCAGGCTGGGGAGAACACCTGGTTCTGGGGATCCCTGGCAAGAGTGGGGTAAGAGTCCAAACTGGGCAGATGTTCCAGGGTCAGCCACAGCCAGAACCCAAGCTGGGGGCTCCGGGTAGAGACAGGCGCAGGGGGGTTCAGACGGGGGGCTGAGGAGGATCAGCCGCTGAAGGGGCCCACGGGATGGGACGTGAACAACTGGGAAGGGAGGCGGGGGGCAGACTGTGACCTTGCGCAGCAGCAGTCCGTGGGAGATGTTCTCAGCCAGCATGAAGGCCGACACCAGGTGGTGGATGGGCCCGGCCTCCCCACAGTGCGGCCGCAGGACAAACGTGTGGAAGCCCCTCTGCCTGGGGGCATAAAGAGAGCATCAGCCCCGGATTGGGACTCACCTGGGCACCCCACCCTCACTCCCCAAGTGGCCACATAGGCCTGAGACAAAAGGGGTAAGGGGAGATCCCTGGCTGCAAGGGATGAGCCACGGTGCCCCAAGGGCAGAGACAGACCCCCATCCAGTCTAGTAAGGACGCCAGTCCAGTGCAGGCCCACAGCAAGGACCCCCAGGCCTGTGGGGAAAGGGCGAGCAGAGCACAGCCCTGGCAGAGCGGGCACCTGCGCAGATGGTTCAGCATGGCCATGTTGGCGAAGGTGTAGTACAGGTAGTAGGCATAGGGCGGGTTGTCCTCCTCCATCCAGGCCTCGGGGAGGGGGCTCTCCAGGTTGAAGACGTGGTTCTCAGGCTTAGATTCATCATCCACGCTGTCAAAGCCGTCCACCTGCACAGCACCCTGGGGTCAGCGCGCAGCCAGGCCTGAGGTCAGCATCCTCCCATCCCTGGCCCTGGGCCACCCCCTCACATGCTCCAAGAAGAGGTGCAGCTCTGGGTGACTGGCAGGATGCACAGTGGCCTCGAACAGCGGCAGGAAGATGTTCGCCAGCATCTCCTGGAAGTTGGCCAGCTGGCCCTTGGTACGGTACACATCACTGCAGGCGGGAGGCACACGTGTGTGTGCTCGTCAGGCCAGCATCAGCACGCCCAGCAGGCCCCTGGGTGGGAGCCTGGCCCGAGATCACACGCACACTTTTGAAGCACACTGGGTAGGCCAGGCTGAATGGACCACGGGGGACTCAGGGAGGCCCCTCCTGCTATCGAAGCGCTCAGCTGGGATGGAGGTCAGCCATCCCAGGAGGGCTAGAGGCCATCCCTGGACCCTTGAACTCAGGCCCCCATGTTGCTTCCCTCTCCACGGGACACTCACAAGAGGCGGGGCACCTGCACGAGCCAGCGCACGTTGGGAGAGTGGACTCGGTGCATCACAGCCCAGCGTGCCAGCTTGTCCCACTCGTCTCTCGAGCGGCCGTAGATGGAGAGCCGCAGCTCCGCGTTCTGGTATTTGCTCTCCTCCAAGTCTGACATGACCTCCTAGAGACACACACGGAGCACCCGTCACCTTCAAGGCTTCCCACTGTCCCTATTCCCGCACCCACCAAGGGTTTAAGCCGCTCAGTTACCTCCCTCAGCAACGACCGGCCCAGGCTCTCGCTAGGTCAAGCGGAGGGCTGCCAAGGCAAAGCCACCATCCCCCTCACCTTGATGATGTGAGCAAAGTATTTCCCAGAAACCCTGTTGTCGGTCTTGATGAAGATCTCTCGGAGGACAGACTCCCCAATCGGGTTGTATTTGGCATTGAACTTGTCAAAGCGATGAAAGGTGTTCCTGTCCTGAGGAAACGGGGAGGCCCAGGTCACCCCTGCCCCCCAGCCCACATGCCGACCCAGCCCCTCAGCCCCGGCTGCCAGGACGAACCGCATGCACGTCGAGTGTGTCCACGCTCAGGTCGTAGGCGGTGAGGTTCATGCTCTCGAAGACCTCCCGCAGCGTCTGCTCGCGACCCTGCTCCACGTGCACGATCTCCTCCAGGTGCCGCTTCATCGCCCGCTTGATGAAGCGCAGCAGGTGCTTCTGGTTCATACAGGACGAGGCGTGGATGTGTGTGTCCACCTGGGGTGGAACAAAGGGCTGCTGGGTGCACCCAAAGCCAGGAAGGTCTGAGGCCTGGACAGCAGGACGGAGAGGACCCCCCAAGCTGGATGCTTGAGTGGAGGCCATGGGGCGAGGGCCCACCTTGCGGATGTTGTAGAAGTCCCGGTGTGGCACCTTCTTCTGGGCAGCCAGCTCCTTCATCTCGTTGAGCAGCACGTGCATCTGGAACTTGGAGCTCAGGTACTGCAGCCGGCGGTAGCAGAATGACTTTCTGGGCAGGAGGAGAACAAGGGCTGAGTCAGGGCCAAGGGCAGCACCCACAGGGGCAGGACCTGGCGCGCAGAGCAAAGGAAGGAGGCCGGAGGGAACAGGACTGAGGCTGCCCAGGGCACAAGGGGCTGGGAAAGTAGGCCTCAGTGACTCTGTCGGGTGAGAGACTGGGTGACAGTCTCAGCAGAGGAGAGGCTGCAGACAGAGGCCTGGGAGAGAAGCCGGGGACAGGCGGGGACTCACATGGGGCCATTGATAATCAGAGCCATCAGCACATTGACGTCAGCCACAAACTCCTGCAGGTCGGGGTACGGCAGCTCCACCTCTGAGCAACTGGCATGTAGGGGGAGCTTGGGTGAGGAGAGGAAGCCAGGCTCTGTGGGCCCTCCCAGGCTGAAGCACACCCCCACAATTTCCCCCAGCACACCCCACAGCCCCCTTACTGCTCATCAGGTTCCCTGCGGGTGTAGACGTGCACCACGCCCCGAATCATGCGCAGGCCCAAGCCCAGGTCCCCAGGCATGGTGCTTGGCTCACAGTGTTCGTACGGATGCTGCTCCAGCGCAGGGGGGTGCACCGGGGCATCTGCAAGGGTGGGTGAGGGAGTCAGGGCTGGGAACTTCCAGACTGCCCACTGCCCAGTCCTGAGGCCTGACAAAGGGCCAGAGGCCCCAAAGGCCCCAAAGGCCCCTGCCTCCACCCCCGGTTGTGGGCAGCAGCAGGCAGGGCCGAGGTTCTGGGCTCCGTGACCTCTGGGAGGTCAGGTTCAGGGAGCCTGGGGGGACAGGGCATTGGAGGAGGGCAGGTATGGGGGTCCCACCAGCAGACACAGGGGTGTCGGGGCCCTGCTCGTAAGTCCGGGTCTCCAGAGGCTTCTCAGCCAGCTGCTGCAGGTACCGCCGGGTGGTGGGGCAGAAGCTCTGCAGCGACAGGGCCATGTACTTCTCCCGGATGAAGAGCGCCCGCACCACGCTCTTGGCTGCATCCAGCAGGTCTGTGAAGGGCACCTGGAGACAGAGACCTGCTTGCACTCCTTGGTCGCTGATCCCCACCAGGCTTGGAGCCCCTTGAGGCCCTACGTCCAGAAACCCGCAGTCTGTTCCTAGCATGCCAGTTTGCACCCAGCCAGGCCTTCCGCCCCTCAGCTCCTGGAAAGAGAAGAGCCCTCTCCAGCCCCTATTCCCACTCCCCAGCCTGGGGGTGCCCCATGGGACACAAGGAGAGAGCCCCGAGGCCCTGCACACTCACCCCACACTTCTCCTCCCCGGAGATGGTGACCCGCTGGAATTCCCGCTCCAGCACCACATCTCGCTCCCGCAGACCCCGGTCACCCTGCCCCTCGCCCTGCTCCTTGTAGAGCCTGTGGGAGGAGATGCGCACAGGAGGGGGCTGGAGCCAGCAGCGGACAGGCCCAGCCCCGCATCCCCGGTGCCCCCTGCGCTCCTCACTGGAGGTCTGAGTCACTGTCCGTCTTCAAGAAATCTTGCTTGGCCCGAAGCAGGATGTCCGGCTCCAGCCTAGAGATGAGGGGGTGAGAGGTCAGGCAGGTTTCGACGCTCGGCCCTTGCTCCGGGGTCCCGGGCCAGGCTCGTGCCGTGCAGGGCTGGTTCTCAGAGCACCCTGTGCTGCGAGGGCTGTTCTTGGCCCACGTTAGATGAGAAAGCAGACCCGGGAAGAAAGCAACGTGGTCCAGGCCACCCCAGCGGGGAGAAGACCGGAACCCAGCATCCTGACTCCACAGCGCGTGCTGCACACCGCTGCTCCGGGCTGCCCCTCTGTGGCCGCCAAGGGAGGACGAGATGAGAGAGGGACAGAGGGGGGACTCGGAAAGCATCCGCATGGCAACAGAGGGACGCTGGGCAGACCACGCACACGCACGCACACACCACCCCCCCCCACCCGCTGCCTGCCTGTGTCCCCGCCCCACGATGCTTGCCTGCCCCGGGGCTGGGGCTTACTTGACATCCTGGCTGATCTGCCGCTCCAAGCGCTGCCGTCGCTCCTCCAGCTGCTCGATGGGGCTCTCCTCCGGGAACTCGTACGGGGCGCTGCGAAGCTCACTCTCAGCCAGGGAGCGGCTGAACAGCTCCTGGAGGAGGGAAGGAGAGTCAGCGCGGCCTGGTCCTCAGCCCCAGGCCCTCCCTGTCAGAGTCTGGGCGTGAGGGAGGGCAGCAGGAGCTGGGGGCACCTGGGAGAGGCAGGGGGAGCAGGGCACAGCCAAGCGTGAGATGAGGACAGCTGAGGTGGAGGGGGTCAGGGAGCAGAGTGGGGCCGCGGGGTGAGGGCGCGGCACGGCCAGGCGATACCTCGGCGATCTCCTTGCATTTGCCATCCATAGACGTGCGCAGGTCGAGCGGGAAGTGCTTGAGGCAGGGGGCAGGGCCTGGCAGGGACCTGGCAGACTGCAGCGGAGGGGCCCCCAGCCCACCCCGAGCCTCTGTGGAGACAGTGATGCCAGTGCCTAAGGGAGGAGGGCCGGGCCTGGGTGCACGGGAAGCCCTGGGCGCCTCCCCACCCCAGGCCAGCCCCAGAAAGGCCAGGGCCTAGGAAGTGGGCTGTCCCTCCTCGGAAGCTCAGTGAGCCTGCGTGTGGCTCCCAGGGTGCCCTCAGGGTGGCATGGGGACCCGTCACCCATTCCAGGCTTGGGGTGGGAGTCCTGAGACTGCCTTAGAACAAGTGGGTTCATTCACTCCAAGAGTGACAACCTGAATCCTGGACTGGGGCCCACTGCCCTGGGCACACACGTGCACACACACTCCCCCCAAGCACTAAGGACCAGGCGGTCACTGGGCGAACCCCCATCCCACAGCGTCCAGGGCAGGCAGTCCAGGCTTGGATGTGCCCCGGAACGAGCAGACCCTCCTCTCAGAGGGCCAGGCGGCGCTGGCGTCCCTGTCCTACGAGCACACTATGCCATCAGCTCTGACCCGGGGACCGGCCCTCAGGGGACGAGGAGCAGAGGAAGTGAGGAACCTCCTCCCCAGAGGCCTGCCCTCTCCCCCAGGACCCCAGCGCTGCCAAGATGTGGCCTGCCCCTCCTACTGCTGGCTGCCCCTCCAAAGGGAGCTGCCACAAACAGTCTGCGCCACTCAGAGGCCCCGGGATCTGGGCAGGAGGCCCCGGGGGAGGCTAGGAAAGGAGCATCAGGCGCCAGGGGTCTCTCAGTGGAGGGCAGAACTCCTCGGCGGCACCACCAGGGAAATGCCACAAAAGGCCCCAAAGCTGCAGGTCTGTCTCGAGGGGCTGACTGAGTTCCCAGCAAACCCCCCCCCACCCCGCCCCCAGGACCCTCCCTGGGCTCACCAGCCCACCCTCCCCTGCAGGAAGCTTCCACGCCCAACTTGACTCTCCCAGCTAGCTCCACGGGACGCTCCCTTTCAGCCTCCTCTCCCCTTTGCACTGTGGCCCAGGGGAGAACTGGAGGTCTGTCCAGGTGGCACGCCTTAAAGTCTTCAGGCCCACGTCCATGGACCCCAGAGACTCAGGAGGCGAGACAAAAGGAAGAGGAGGTACCACCCCCGCTGGTGCCAGTGCCTGCCTGGGCCCTACCTGCAGAGTTCAGGCAGCTCCCCAGCAGCCCTGTGCCCCGTGCCCGCCTGTGTGCTGAGCGGAGCTGCAGCCAGTCCCCCAGGAGCGCTCAGGGGCCAGCACGGGCTGTACCAAGTTCAACTGTGCGCAGGGGAAGCCCTGGGATGATGGCAAGCAGGGGGCTGAAGGAGTTCAGGCGAGCTCAGAAATCAAGGGAAAGGGCATCTGAGTAGGGAGATAAGGGGAACCCCAAAGTGAACAGGGCCTTAAGCTCTACAGCACCAGGGCCCAGCTCAACGAGGGGCTCCCAAGAGGGAGGAACAGGGTTGACTGATACGGGCAGGCTGGCAGGGAGGGGCCAGGCCGCCTTAAAACGCACTGCCCTGGGGGACAAGCAGTGGGTAGGGCCTGGCTGGCCGGGGGTAGGAGGGGAGAAAGCGCCTCCTCAACTCCACACCCAGCAGTCCCAGGCCAGCTTCCTCTGCCAAGGGCTTTGTTTTGTTCACCACTGACCTCTGGGTCCCTGACACAGGGTCCCTTGGGAGACAAGGCCTCTGCTGGGCAGAGAAGTCAGCTGGCAGCTGGGAAAGTGCTTAGTCCAGGTGGGGCCAGTGACTGAGTTTCCCTGCAGCCCAAGAGGCTGCTTCATGGCCCCCTAGACGGCTAACCCCTGTGCCAAGCCTACTGTCGAGACGGGACAAAGTGCCCAGAGGACATCTTTGGGAGAAGGGAGCAAGAATTTGGAAGATTCTGTTTCCACATACTAGAAGACTCTAAAACCCCAGGGGCTTCACATCCTGTCTATAATGGGGTGATAAGCCGGTCCTGCCCCGCCTAGCTGCAGCTGCCGCTGGCTCACATGTGCTGTATAATCTGCAACCGCCAACTCCGGGGCACTCCCAACGTCCCACAGGCAGTCCCGCCCGCTGGAGGGGGTGGCAGGTTCTGGGGCCCAGTGTCGGCCAAGGCAGCTGAGCAACGAAGGGCAGCAAAGAGAACAGACTTGGCAGGGGCAGCCAAGGGGGTGACGCTATCTTTTAGTAGGAAGAGGCCAGAGTGGAAAGAGGAAGGACAGATGGGTAGTGCCCCCCCCACCGCCCGCAGGGCGTAAGCCAGAGCCTGAGGTCCCTGTTTGCCCAAGAACCCTGGTCCTACACAACTCTCCCCAGATACAACCCCCTCAGGGAAGGCCGACCACAGACGCCCCCAGCTTTAGAGCTGGTCTGTATGGAGCGAGCAGCAGCTGAGCGAAGGCCCTCATCTCAGCTCCCTCTCCCAGCAGGGGGCCCAGGACCTCCACAGCAATGCTGAGACGACCTGGACAGGTTCAAGCAACCAAGTGATCCCCCAGCTCCCCCCGCCCCAACTACCAGGTCACCACATAGGGCAGGCTGGGGTTCACCAGAGGCAACCCACAGGCAGTAAGCTCCACACGCCCTGAGGCGGGGTCTAGAAAAGCCAACTTTCTGCTGGTCCCTTCTCCCAGGGACTGCGCTGGAGGTGCCCAGTTGCAGCACCATGCATGCGCGTACATACACACACACACACACACACACAAAAGTCAACCAAATGCCAGGGGGACTCCTCCTCAGTCCCTCCCACCAACTCCAAGATTCCCGTCACCACGTCTATCCTCCTGACACAGCCCCTCACACACTGACAAGACCGCCTCAGTAGGCAGGGAGGGGCCAAGGCACTGACCCACAGTATCGGATGCCGTCACCTTGGGACCACCCAAAGGTGGATAGACCTAGCTGCAGGAGACATGCCCTTCGGATGGCACCAATCCGGTTGCACAGAACTCCAGGGCAGCACTGACCTCAGCTAGCGTCTCCAGTGCATGAGAAATGCAGGGGGCAGGCCCTTGAGCTATAGGTACTGACACCTGCAGGGCTTGACCAGGTCATCAAAATGGGGGTGGACCTTCCCTTGACAAGGCCCGAGGGCAGCAGATGACAAACAGCTATCCCTCAGCAAGCATGGGCCAGGCAGTGAGCATCACGGAGGCAGGCATGGACGCACCACGCTGCCTGCTCCAAATGGTGCAGCGATGCCTACCAGAGAGGAAGATAAACCCAGATGCAGGAGCACACGCAGCGGCAGCAGCCCCGACCTGGGCTTCTGCATGGGCCAGCCAACACCACCCCACACCTGGGAGGAGGCTGCGACAGACCAGGACCAGCTGAGGAACTGGCCAGACATCAGACCCCACGATGGAGCTAGAAATCTGGGGCCACGGAAAGAACTGAGCGCAGGAGGGCGGCCTGAGCTGAGCCTGCCTGGCAAAGACACAGCCACCGGCGGAGCGGCCAGTCCACAAACCAGTCAGCCGCACACATCCCCCACTCCATTCACACACACCCCACATGCGAGGCTCCGCACATCCACTCACTGACACGTGTGCAAACACACCGCTCACTGCACCCACACCCACTCCTGACAGAGGGCAGCATCCCAACACAGACATGTCATCCTGCGCTGCGCGCCCTCCCCACACCCCCTCCCAGCCTGCTGGCCCTAGCACCCAGGATGAGGGGCGCCCCCACAGAGGGTGCAGAGGCCCCGGGTTGAAGCCAAGACGTGCGGGCACAGCCAGCGCCTGGGGGCAGGAAGCACGCACTCACCTGGGACTGCAGAGGCGGCCTGCAGGCTGGCCCGCTTGGCAAAGGGATATTTGGCCTTGGGTTTGCTGGGACCAGATGGGTAGGATGCCATGGCTCCGGCGGCGGGGACAGAGGGGGAGTCTGGAGCGCACCAGCTGGGCCTGGCTCTGCCACATCCAACCCCGTGCTCGCCCCGCCCCCAGCGGGAGTGACTGATGCAGGAAGCCGGGCCCCGCCGGCGGAAGAGGCCCCAGCCACGATTTCTGATGTTGTCTAGGCAACCCAGGGACGGGGGCCTCCATCCCCGCCCCGCCCCAGCCCCAGAAGTGACGTGACCGCTGGAAGCTGGGCCTGGGGGCTGGAGAGGGAGAAAACTAAGTGGGGAAGGGCCAGCCCCCGCTCTCCACCGCGCCCCCCGGGCGCCCCCGACCCTGGCCAGGCCCTGGCGCACCGGAGCCAAAGTCCGGGCTGGCCGAGCCGCGCGCTGGGGCAGGGGAATAACCAGCCGGCGCCGGCGCGAGCGCCCGAGCTCGGAGCGCGCTCTGCCCAGGGCGGGCGGGCTCGGGCAGCCCAGCCCCTCGGGCACGGCCGCCTCCTTCCCTCCCCGCCCGCGCCAGGGTCGCCCGCGCTGCAGCGAGGGGCAGGAGGAGGACCCGGCCCGGCAGGCAGGGAGGAGCCTGACTCGGGAAAATTCCACTGTCCAGCAGAAGCGCCTTCCAGGAGGGCAGGAGGCCGGGTGGGGGGCGGGGTCTGGGGGTTCTGGGGGGACCCCGCGCCCTGACGTCCCGCCTGTCCGCCCTCGGGAGAGCTCCCCGGACCCTGCCGGGGACCGGCCGCCGCCCAGGGCTGCGCGCCGCGCGGACACCCCGCGCCCTGGCCCCCAGGCCACTGCGCCCCCAGCCGAGACCCTCCCCCAACCCGCGCGCGCGCGCACACACCCCCTCTCACACCCCCTCACTCACACACACACTCACACTCACTCACCTGAGGCCATGCTGCCCGAGTCCTGCGGGGTACGGGGGAGTCTCCCCGCCAGGATCCGCCCAGCCGGGGCGCCCGGCTCGCGAGGCAGGGGAGCAGGGCTGGGGGTCCCCCGATGGGGGTACCAAGGTGGTCTTTCAACCTCGCCAGCGGCCAGGAGGCCGAACCCCGCAACCTCGGCCGCCGCTGTGCTCCCGAGACCCCCGAGACCCGAACCCAGACCCGCACCGGAGAGGCGAGCGGGCCACGTGCTCCCCCGAGCGCGGGCCCGGAACTCGCCCGGCGTCTCTCCTCTCCCCGGGGCACGGGCCGGGCTCCAGCAGCCGGGTGCGGGGGAGCAGGCAACAGGTGCGACCCCGCCAGAACCTCGCCCGGCCGCCGCGCGCCGCCGCCGCCCGCCCCCGAGGCCCCGGGGCCCCGCCCCCGCGCGCCGGCCCCGCCCCCGCCCGCCCGAGGCCCCGCCCCCGCCATGTTCCCCTGCAGGGCGCCACGTGGGCTGCGGCCGCGCGGCCGTCGGCGGGGCGGGCCGGGCCTTGGGCAAGCTCAGGGCGTCAGTTTCCTCCTCAGTGAATGGAGCAATCGCTGGAAGGAGTTATAGCGAGGGTTAAACGTTATAAGCACCTTTGCACGATGCCTGGCACAACGTCGGCGCCCAGTAAAAGGTGGCTATTATTGACTCAGGATTCACTTTTAGCAATCTCACCCAGGCGCTCACTCCTGGCACCGGGGGCCAGGGTGTGTCCCGCAGTTCTGGCTCCCAGTCCCATATTTATTTATTCGTGGTTAAGAACTTATGCTCCGCAGCCAGAATGCCTGGGTACAAATCCAGACTCCCACCTACTTCCTGACCGACCTTGGGAAAGTTACTTAAACTTTTCTGTGCTTGCATTTCATCTGTAAAAAAGCGTGTAGAGAGAGCCGGTTTTATCCGGTGGTTGTTAAAATAAATGAGCTATTATAGTTTAAGTGCTTAAAAGGGTCGGTGGCTTACAGTCACTAACTCAGCTAATGTTCAAGCCTTATCATTGCTATGTCCTTGATCTTGGCTCCCTGTCGACATTCTGACTGCCTAGAAGTGAGTTTTGGACTGTTTTGGGAACGGATGCACCTCACTCAACCAGTACCCCTTCCTCCCAGGTGCCAGGGAATCCACCCTGAAGGGAACTTGGGGGCAGTACCTAAGACTCCACTGAACAGAATTAAATGTATTAGCAGCCATTGGATTTTCTCTAGTTCTCTGCCTTGTGGGAGTCATTTCCCCCTCCAACACACCCGGTTGTACTAAGGCTATTTGTCCAGCTCCTCCCAGTTCTCACCACCCCCACAGCCAAATTCCTCCCCAAACTCTGCCTCTCCCATCTGTCCCCAGCCCGCCTTCTACATCCTGAGCCCTCTTCTCTACCTGCATCAGTTGCCTCCACTGATCCTTGCCCGGTGCTCCCCACGCTTGACTAAAACTAAAACACCAAGGCCTCCAAAAATGGGAGGGGAGGTGGAATTCACTTCATAAAGGATCAATAAAATTAAAAAGAGAAGATGGAGTATCATGTTTACTCATCAAATAGCAAAGATTAAGGAGAAAAACAACCCTAATGCAGGCAAGGGTGTGTAGTTAAGTGAGCTGGGGCTCTCACATACACTCTGGAGGCATGAATGTTGATAAGATCTTTCTGAAAGCCATTTGGCAATATATATATATATCTTTAAAAGGTTCCTATTATTTGACTCGGTAATTCCACTTCCAGGAAATTTTTTCAAAAAATTCTTACAAAAAAAAAAGCCGCCAGAAAAATAGGCACAAAGTTGTTTATCACTGCAATATTTATCATATAGAAAGGGTAGAAAGCTAAAGTTCCAACAAAAGGGAATATGTTTAGGTATTCATTTCATACAATGAAATAGTCATTCAAAATTACTTTTGGAGAATTTCTTAATGTGGTGGAAGTGTTTACAACATAAAAGGTGAAAAAGTGGATGCACAAAATTGCACATACAGTATGGCCCTAATTATGTGATACCAGGCACAAAAAACATACTAAAAAGTTTGCACAAGGGATAGAATTGTGAGTTTTATTTTCGTCTTTATACTTACCAGCATTTAAAAATTTTTCTATAATGCATATCCATTTCTTCTATAGTCAAGGGCACAGAAAACAATAAAAAGCCTGTAATAATTTGTAATAGCCTCAATTCCCACCCCAAACATATGCTCCGAGGTCTTAACCCCAGTCTAAATTGGTCTGGGGGTCCTTAGGAATTTGAGGGCTCTCAATCATGAATACAGTAAATTTCAAAAATTTAAATCAAGCACCATGTAATCATGTAGACTATTATCTATATTCTGATACGACACAAATTTTAAGTAGTATCTTGCATTGGGTCAGATAGTTTGGGTCCCTCCTTAATCAGACCTACCTATTTATATACCTACCTAACCAGTCAAAGGTGACAAGACCCACCCTCCAATTTCCAGGCAAACTGGTTCACTGCTTTCAAGCTTCTCCTTAGTCCCATCTGTAATACCATCACTACGTAACCCTCCTCGATTTCCAGGCCATGTTGTCTTAGCTAAAAAGTATGCCCTGATTACAGCTAAGCATCAATCTCCTCACCTACACAACACCAGCAAGAATCTCAGTGGGGTTTCATTGTCTATGTAAAACAGAGTTTGGGAAATGTAGTGAGTCATCCCCCTATGGCCTTCACCTTTTTTCTTGAAGCTTTAATGTTGTCTTTGAGCTTCTGAGATCTATCCTAGCTCTAAACACAGCTTCCTCTCCTCCTAGCCAATTCCCCAGATGGTTCCTTACCTGACCCTTCCTGAACCCTAGGCCTCCACCGAGGATGAACTGTTTCCCTGAAGAATTGCTTCTCTTCTGGCCTGCAGCACGTTTGTGAGGTCAGTCTCCTACCTAAGCCAGGCCACTCTCCACAGAGATATTAGACTTGGGAGAGAAAACCTGTGGTCTCAACAAGATCCTGAGTCAGGACAATTCCCTATGCCTAGATCCTTCTAGAACCAAACCATTCTGTTGTTTCCCCACGTGTCCCAGCAGAGAGCCCCCTACCCCACCCCAACCAGTGACCCACTGTCTCATAGCGCCATGCAGCTGCATCCATCTGTCTTCCATGGATTTTAGCCAAACCCTTTGTTAGTCAAGGCCCTTGTATGGCTCACACCACCTCCCCTTCCCCCAACTCCCCTCCACATACCTTTCACTCCTTCACTCCAGCCCAGTCTCATCCAACTCTCCAGTCTTCCCCCAGCACTTTTTTTTTTTTAAGATTTATTTATTTATTTATACAAGCACTGGATACAGTTAGAAGCGTGAGAGGGTGAGAGAATTCACCAAAGCCAGAGCGTCTCCCAGCACTTTATAGGCGGGCCTCCATGCCTTCTCCCATGCTTTCTCCCTGAAACGTCTATTCCAATTTCTATTGTTGTTCTGCTCCTCTGTTCAAAGTTTGCTAATTTTACCATCACTCCCTCCTTTCTTTCACTATAAGATTTGAGTCTGATAGTTCCTGTGTGTCTGACTGTCTTTCTACTGGGGATGGAGAGCAGGTTTTAAACAGCTCTGAATTCTCCATCACGAGCACATTGTTCCTATAATTGTTTTCCTTAGAATTTACCCAACCTCCTCCTTTGGACTGGAAGGTCCTAAATGTAGTTCTTTGTTCTTTCTATTTCCCGACCCACATCACTCAATTCCATCTGGAATAAGTTTTCACCCACAGTCCCTACCACTGAGTATGAGACAGATCCTGAAGTCTCCCCATAATTCAAAAAACAACCAAATGTGGTGGGAAATGATTTTTTTTTCTGCTCAGAATGATTTGGTCCAAAAGGCTGTGCACTATGACATCTGAGCTCGAGCCAATTCTAACTTGCTTAATACGAAGATGACTTTTCTGTGCTTCAGTTCATTCACCTCTAAAATAGGAATAGCATCTTCATGCCTTACCTACTCCACCAAGACATGGCCCCCAGATAAAATAAAGTAGAACAGCTGCAGGAAAATCACAAGAGGCAGGAGGAGGCCGCTATCAAGGGGCCCAGGCGTAGTAGCGAGCTGTGCAGTCAGAGCCCAGGAGTTCCCTTACTCAGCTTGATGTTCGGAATAGGGAACCCAGCAAGCTTGGAAACAAGCAGCAGCAGCACAGAAGTTTGCA